ATTTTTTTTGTTTGTTTCTGGTTTGTCATACTTACAGATGGATCTGACTGAAATAAATAGGGCCGCCCTTCATTCCAGCCACAGATTAGCAGTGATACACCAAATGGACGAACACCACTACAGGCAAAAAAATCCAAACAAACCAAATTACTACAGTTGATACGTGAAATTTATTCAATGAAAATAAACAGTAGCTAAGTTATTTTGCATGTGTTAATCCTCCCCTAAATGCTTCCCACCAGCCCAGAGCTCTGATCAGGAATGACTAGTCAACCAACAGTACAAAATAAAAATTCTGCTGCCTTGTTGGACATGTTTGTTTGCAAGACAACCCTATCTCACCTGCTGCCAGCCCATGTTCTTCCTGCCAGCACACTCTCTGGGGACATTCTCCACTGAAAAACTGTCTTTCTGACACCAAAAATCAAATCACCAGGTAGTTGTTATTTCTTACATTTAAACATCATCTTTATAAATAACTTAAAAGTTCAGAAAAACACATACCCAGACTGCGTGTATTCCTGCATCACAGAAGCAATTCTCTGGACTAGCTGAGCTGTTGGAATAGGCTCATGGTAAACCAAGTAATATTGCTGGGCCAGCTTCCGAGCTCTGTGCACAAGTACTCTAAAAACAAAGACAAAGTTAGCATGTCCAAGAAATTCCAACTAGTTGTTACAAGCAGAACTGAAAACTCATGATAAAGACTATGCTAAGGAGTCACACATCTGGCGTGACACCAGTGTGAGAAAACACAGACTGTGCTGAGTTATGTTCATCAACTGATTAATCTCTGAAATACCAAAACTGAATCTAAGGTTGAATTACAACGCATTTCATTCCCTAGCAGTTCTTTAGGTAGAAGGTTATGTGACAAGGTGCTGAACATACTCAGAAAAAACCTGAATTTCATATACAGTGTAGTACCATTTAATATGATGCCATACACTTAGTTAGAAACAGCCAATTGCTCTCGTTTCTTACATTTCTTGTATGAAAATGCATCTGAATGGTGACCAAACAAGTTTGAAATACCTGTAATCTGGACCCATACCGCTGTACACTAAACCTATATGTTTGGTAATTGGTTCCACTTTGTGGACACTCCTTTCATCATAAAGAATGGATTTCTGTTTCTTCTCAGTTGCCAACACCACTCCATTTGCAGCTGGAAAGGAACAATTTTTTAAAAAAATATATATATTAAACTGAAGTTATGGAAAGCAGTCAAAACACAAAAGTTTATCAGACTGTACAGACTTTTGCTCCTCCCTATTTTAAAAAGCCCTTCAAATTTACAATCAGGCTAAATAGAGATACTTTGATGAACCTGCTCAACACAATGCTTTTATTTAAATATTTAAATTAACATTATTTATTTAATATTTAAGTTATATTTAAATAATCGTACAGCTCCCATAATCCCATTCTGAAGATTCTGAAGCACATACTAATAATTGAGCAGTTGAAGTAGCTTTTTGTGCAATTTCAGTGTATACAGACACACAGTTGGAGTTATTTACTTAAGAAACAGGAACACTTAAAGAAAAAAAAAAGTCTGCTTCTTCCAGCTGAGCTGCTTCAAAAATCACCCAAGCAATTTTCATCTCCTAGCATGGAGCTCTACACTCCCTTCCCATATAAAAAAAAATATTGAGTTGCAGAAAAAAAACAGGAAACATTAAACCCACTAAAACATGTGAAAATCTACCAAAAGAAAAACATGTCATAGAAGGCAGGCTGAAGAAAGATGCAGTATAGAGTCCCAACTATTTTAGTTATCTCAGAATCCTGAATCCTTGACTGAAAAAGTAGTTATTTATGAACATACCTTTAATCCCAACCGATGGAGCTCCTGCAGCCACTGCAGCCAAAGCATATTCAATCTGAACAAGCTTTCCAGAAGGACTAAGAAGTAAAATGCAGAAGTAAGCCTAACATTATTCTGATATGCTTTTTTAGCCTATTTATACCTAGCATCAGCATACTCTAATAAAAAAAAAAAGCAAACAATAAAACCCCAAACCAACACCAAAACAAAAAACCCCCAAGCCCAAAATCTCAAGATTCTTAACAACTTCTAAAAGAACTGGACTGGCTCAGCACAGAACTCACTGCTGCACTGTGCTACTGGGATACTCACACAGCACCTGCCTAGAACCCTGATGGAAGCTAATGTGTGGGATGGGGAGCAGCCAGTGGGATGCAGGCTGAAGGAGGACAAGTCCATTCTCCAACTTTATAGCATTTTAGACAAGTTCTCCACTCAGTGGGAAAACTCTTCAGAACTATTAATGACTTCCTTCTGAAATGGCATTAGACCTGTGGTTTACAAAAGTTTTCAAGACACTGATGTCTGCTGCTGAAATCTATGAGCAAGGATGTACAGCTACTTGCTTTGACTGATAACCACACATCAGGTCAATGGTACAAGACAGAAACAGCTCCCACTCCAGCCCCAGGTATTCCCACATCTTGTTTCAGTGATCTGTGTCATTCTGGTAACAAACACAGAATCATCAGAACAGAGCAGCAGGTGTTAGGCTGCCAAAGTAACTCATCCAGAATGAAGGGAACTGAGGGTCCCATTCTCAATCCCCAGAGAAAAGGACTGGACGAGGGATTTTGCAAGTGGAATCTATTCTCTGGCCTGTATTTCAGACACTGCTGCTTTAATAGCTGCAAAAGTATACTAGAATATTGTGCAACTCAGTGCTTAGAGGAGGTAAAATAAACAACAAAGGAAGCAATCATCTATGTGTATAGTTAGTTATACACTGAGTAAACTGTGTAGAAAAGTGACAAAATAGTAATAATTCTAGCTTCTCCACTACAAAATACTAACAAATCAAAACAATAGTTTCCTATGCCAGCAATTAAAGCATACAGAACATTAGCAAAATATTTCAAAAGGCCTAACTAAAATAAGTAATTCTAAATGCATGGACCAAGTGAAAGAGGGAAACCATAAGCAAGAGTATTCTGTTCCATGTGCGTATAAAATCAAATGGCTTCAGGATTCAGAGCATGTAGTGCTTCTGTACAGTACAAAAAGTCTGTAATTCTCTCAGGAAACTATTTCAAAAACTAATAAAGGATCCAACCCATTTGAGTAAACCAGGCATGTTTGGCTGCATCCATCCATTAAGCAGATTCTTTTCCTAGTTTTAGATTGCGAACTGCTTCATTTCATTAAATGCAACAAGGCTCTAGTCGCCTACTTGGCAATTACAGAATCACAGAATCCTAGAATCCTAGGGGTTGGAAGGGGCCTCGAAACATCATTCTGTCCAACCCCCCTGCCAGAGCAGGGTCACCCAGAGCACATCACACAGGAACGTGTCCCGGTGGGTTTGAATGTCTCCAGAGAAGGAGACTCCACAACCTCTCTGGGCAGCCTGTTCCAGGGCTCTGTCACTCTCACAGTAAAGAAGTTCTTCCTGATATTCACATGAAACCTCCTGTGCTCCAGTTTGCATCCATTGCCCCTTGATTTACACAACATCATTGTCCTCTGAGGTTAAGGAAGCACTTTACCAAAAGCACCACAAAGATTCTTGCATTAAGTCCTTCTTTTTATATGTATAATATAATTCTGGATAGCTTATTAGTTTCCTCAAAAAATGAAAGAGAAAACAATTTCATTTTCTCCAAATTAATCCGAAGTGTATGTATTAAAGCAGCACTTTAATAGAAACCACTCCAATGGTATATTCATTTTCCCCATGTGAACATCCTACATCTAGGCTGTGCACAACACAGTGTGCAAGGACAGCCTGCCAAGTGCAGCAGAAAGGGAAATAAACCATTTAAAACTCATCTGAAGGCTTCTTTCATCCCCATATCTGCCAAGTTTGTTGTAAGGGAAGGTCTCAAGATACGGTATCACCACGCATTTCCCATCAGCTCCGAAGGCCAGAATCACTACCCAGCCTAACGCGTGTGCCGGGGGACCCTCAGTTCGCTAAACCGCCTCACCGAACACCCACAGGGCACCATCAAGAACGAGTCAGGCTGGCCCCGCAGTGACTTACAGCAACGAGAAAACACAAGCGGCGAGTGCCCCCGGGCGAGGGCCCAGCGACAGAGCCCGGCCGGGAGCAGGGACCCCCACCGCAGCCT